ACCCGGGTCTTTGGCGTCAGAGGTCAGCATGTTAACCACTACACCACTGTGCTCCACATCTACATTTGTGTGTGCTAGAACCAAGTCATACATCCCTGGAATCCTTCACCGAAATGTAAGTAAAAGCATGCATCAATGTACATCTAATTAACGGACGTTAAGTTTGAAATTTGAAACAAGCTCCATGTCAGATTGATGTATATTCTTAGACTTTTATTATTATAGGATATTTATATAGCTCACTAGTGCATGCTCAAGGCGCTGGTATTTTTCCCCTCGATCATTGGATGTCAATCTCACCGGCACATCTTATTATCAATCTCAACTTCCTGGGGATCATACAACTCTGGCTGCCACAAGGCGCACCGAGGTATTGAGGCTTTCCCATCCTTACGAGGTACCCATTTACAGCTGGATGGACTGGGACACATAGTCACAGTACTTTGTCCAAGTTCACTGCAGGTTGCTGTGCCTGCAACCGGTGTCTGCACATATTCATGTGGCCACAATCTGGTCATATACCAACGGATTCGTGGGTGGTTCTTTGTGTAGTGGTACCTAGATTCATACTGAAAGAGTCTGCACACAAAGACAATTTTACACAATGAGCGATCCCGGCTGCTCATGCCCGTTGATCACTAGCTTGATTCATATGCATCCACACGACAATTAACAATCTTGACGCAAAACGTAAAAATCATTTACACTTATTGTTGTCTAATACCATGACCCTCTATATCATTCACACATTACCTTCTGATATAAACGATTGATGTCAACAGAGCGATGACAGCTAAGATAAGAAGTACATCTAGTGTTGCTGCAACTGGCACTTCACGGTTTGAGTATCCTGATGTTGCTGGACACTCTGTACAACCCAGTTTGAGTGAGTGAGTGAGAGAGTGAGTGAGGTAAATTTATAGTCACATTGTCGATATTTCAGCCATATCGTGACTTAAAAGTTTTAAATTCATAATATATGCAATTAAATTATAAAACCTGTCAAGGAAATGACAGTAAAACAACTAGAATATCACAGTATAAAGAATCAAAACTAGCAGCTGTCTCTAAAATTGCATTTCAAATTAGGTCAGTACAGTATAGAAATGGGCTATAGATCGCCGACAACTGAAGGTAGATCACCATACTAGGGACCATTGGGACATACAGTACCTTTGCGACCTGCATGAACCCTAGCTGGAAATTTACACCATCCCTTCAGCCGGTGGCGATTGTAGGAAAATTTAGCTATAATTTAAACTAACACAAATACTACGTCAATACGGCATCGTCTTAAAATGACTTTTTCAAATCTGGACTGACAACCAAAGTAGGTGTAACCAATATAGGGTTTTATTTCATTCAATGCATGAATACCTTCTTGAGTATCCTACTTCTTTGCATTAGATCACGGATATAAGATCTAATAACGGCTTTACAATCAATATATGGAATACGAAGTGGTGTCACAGATTTGTTGAGTGCTGCCTTCGCAGTCCAACCCAGGTTCAGAACATAAATACGTGGTCAGTATTGCTTTATATATGTATGTGCAGCTGACTTGACATATGTCAGAAAGCTACTCTCAAGGAATAGTAAATGAAATGTACAATGAACCTTTGAAAATATTTATCTCGTCACCAAATTTGCATATACCCGTGAAAAGCCGGGTTAGGTTTTCAGCAACAGTACTCATGCCTGTTGTAAGAGGCAACTAACGGGATTGGGTGGTCAGGCTCGCTGACTTGGTCGACACATCGTATCCCAAATGCATAAATCGATGCGCATGCTGTTTATTAGTGGACTGTCTGGTCCAGGCAATATTATTTACAGACCGCCGCCATATAGCTGGAACTGTGGCCTTAAACAACAACCCAACCAACCAATTTGCATATGCATGTTGTGGAATCCAAATAATAAAAGAAAGAATTTTATTTCTTTTGATTTTAGTGTCTCACCTTGACATAGGGGCTTCATGAAGTTACCCTGACATCCTTCGGGACATTCCCCGCTGGATTTATCATTGGTTAGGGCGTCTTTACACTGACCACATCGTGACATGCAGTCATCCCCGTACATACCATCAACACATTCTGGGGAGTAGAGGAGATACATTTTCATCTTGCTGCTATGTTTCTTTGAGTGTCATTTTAGAAGTTGAGACGTACAATATAGGAAAAAAATTAAAGAATAACAACTTCTTTATTTCGTGAGTGCAACGTTTCGATACATATTCTCCTGTACCCTTGTCAAGTAGCAATAATACATGAAGAGGAGGAGATGTATATATATACTGAATGTAACAATGAAAAAATCGGTTCATTCGTTCTCTTCATGTATGAACAGTGGAGAACAGTGTTTATCATGCAATAAGACAGAACACGTTAACTTCCGTCACATTAAAAGTATATCGCAACTTTACAAAATGGTTCTTGAAACCCTGGCTGACATCCTTGTTGACATGTTCCATTGATCTTGTTAAAAGGCAGGTTTCCTTTATATTGGCCACACTCAGACTGACAGTGGTGTCCATGGCGACCGTCACAGCAAGCTGTAAAGATATGATAAACCATCAACAAAAAGACTAAGCGTTTCAATTTTACATGAATAATTAAGGATTATGTACCTACCCTGTGAACAGAGATCTGGCCACCATCCTGGCTGAAAGTCACAGACGTCAGTGCCCTGACAGTGACAACACTGAGACGCACAATTAGAACCATAACGTCTGTATGGGCATGATGCAGACAGGAACATGAGAACGTGTCAGTAAAAAAAACAGTTGTAATGTTACGTCCTGCGTGATAAGTTTATGTGACGTTTCTATTTTTTGACACGAGGTATTTCAAGAAGAAATTCAAAGGTGAGTGGGTGAGCTTATGTTTACGCCGCACTCAGCACTATTCCAGCTGTATGGCGGCGGTCTGTAAATAATCCAGACTGGACCAGACAATCCAGAGATCAACAACATGAGCATCGATATACTCAACTGGGAAACAATGACATGTGTCAACCAAATCAGCGAGCCTGACAACCCGATCCCGTTAGTCGCCTCTCGACGACAAGCATTGGTTAGTGAAGATCAATTTCTAACCCGGATCTCCCACGGGTAGATATTCAAAGGCATTTGGGGTATAACAACTGGGAAAAGAGTACATTCCTTCCGACCTACAGAAACCTATAATGCAGTAAGTCGAGACTGGAAAGACAGTCAGCCATGAACATAGTATATCCATTATATCTGTTGTTTCATTACGAGAACATATTATAAATCTGTTGCCTATAACTTCATTTTACACTAGGATCTCCCAGCTTGATGACATGTTACTGACAGGGATGTTTGAGGGTTGTATTTGCAATCAATCGTCTCAACTAATAGTCGATTGTAAGGCTACTAAAGTGCTACTTTACTCGAAAATCAATTTCAACAATAAAATTATAACATGTATCCATTAGTTTCAAAACTAAAACAATATATATGCACAAGTATGTTCATATGGCATTTATTGTTTGCATTAGTTCCATCCATATTTTGCACATTTACTGAGGGTCCTAATACCATAATAAAGCCTCAATGGCTTCAGTTCCTTGTAATATGACGTCACTGGTGCCAATTGATAAAGGAATGACGTCACTATGCTGCGTGAGACTTATTTCAAAAGTACCACTGTGTGGTTATTGCGTCTAGTTACCCAGACTATCGGTACTGCCTTAACCCTTATGGTGCATCAAGGCCTTCGTGATTTAAAAAAGTGCGCATTGAACAGAAAAAGGGATACAAAGTTCGTATATTTACATAATAGTGTGACCAAACTGTGCATCATTCATCTCGAGTTCGATTGAAGTTCCAACATCGAATCTGAAAGAGATGCACGCCCTAGCCATCGGAAAAAACCCTTTGTACTAAGTTTGCTTTTTTTTTTCACAAAATCGTAAATTCGATTACCCGAAAAGGACAAGAAAAGACAAGTAGGCTCCTTTGTCGGAAGTCCAGATGTCCAACAGTTTGTATCATTGTAAGCGATAATATGCAGCTGACAATTATGTCAAAATACCCTTCAGTGAGAATTAACAGTGAGTTTTGATCATACCTACTCTCTTAATTCATAGTTGAAACGTACAATATATCGTATATCGATGTATCTTTCGAAATCTGAACTTTTAATTGTGTTCTCAGATCACTTTGCTTTTTTAAAGTCACTGGTAAAATATGCAAACACAAACGCTGAAGTGAATTCTAAGCTACATTGCACAGCACGTATAAAATCACGTATCATGTATTTCGATTGTGTTATGCCCATTATATTACGTGTAATTTGAACTTCGGTAAATGCCACGTGAAAAATTGTCTGTGACAGCGATATCAAGTGTCTGAGAAAGCAAGCGAAATATATTAGGCGAACAATCGAGCATTAAAACAAAGAAGTATCACCATCTGAAATGAGTGGAATTAATGTGCAAATCAACGCAAAATAAGAATCTGCCACTCACAAACCCATAAGGCTATGTTAACCCACCAAATATCTGCACCTCGCACACCGTGAGATAATCGCTTGTCTGTATAGTGAGGTTGTTTCCTGTTAAGCTTGCTGTTGACATTTGACGTCAGCTATAGCAGGCGGGTATGTGTCCGTTTACCACTGGAAGCACAGCTGACCACCAACATATATCTTCATCCCTCTGTTTCTCTCCAGTACTGGTTTCAGTGTGACAATAGTTACTTCAAATATCAAATATTACATTTGAGTCAGCACCAGAACGAATCGCGACAAGTAAAAGGCATAGTAATAAATTGCATTTACAAGTAAAAGTTCATGTCTAGTTAAACATGATAGTTCCATTTATGTAAACAGTACGGATTTGTATTGCGAGACCCATACTCACGGCTCTGACGTAGATACAGCTTAACGTGTTGTATCTTGTCTGTGTTTGAGATGTTCAGGTACACAGCCCATGCTGGCTGTTGATCTCCTTCGGCGGTATTTTACATGTCAGTGGTTTACTATAGAAGTCGGTGGCAGCTCTGCCATCCACGCCGTACCTGGCGTCGTATCGGTGTTCTGTATTCCCTGTCCTCACGCTGTTTTCAATGTAAGAAGTACTCTGTGTGGCACTTCGTCCTAAGGCAATATTTCCTGAAGAAAGTGAAACGATGTACAAGATCATCCACATGAGACAATAGTGAGGAATAACGGCGGCAATTAATGTAGCTGCTCTTTAAAAATCCATCACAAGAATCAAATATGGAGTAAGGGTTACAGCAAATAAATACCATTTCGACAGGACTAAATATGATATGACTATTTTCTTTGCAACAACTGATTCTAACATTGTGCGCACATAGTCAAGAAACCTGCGCTTATACGTGTATATTCGCAATTCGTAATTGAAACATGTAGAAGAAACTAATACAAACATACTACTCAGCAATTTCAATTCCGGTTTGCAACCACTTCTTAAAGCATTTTGTTGTTCTTTCTGTGGCCTTCTCCAATGTGGCAAATAAACCAGGGAATTGAGACTCAGGAATATATCAGGGTGCGTATGAACGTTAAAACAAAATGACCACTACAAATTATGCCTCCCATTCATAGACAGTCATAGGTCATTAAGTTTAAGAAATCGTAGAGTTGAATTAACTTTCCAAGATATGATGGTACCGGAAAGAACTTGTTCCACACGTTGTTTTGCGATACTATTCAACAAGGACGTAAATGGATTTGTTCAAATGTGATTGCATTTTGCATTTTACGAAGAACCCGCTATACCACCATTTCTATATATTTCTATACATTATAGTATTAAGAATATGCTTCATAATTTAATGTTTATGTCTAGATATATAATTTCTGCCACGTAGGAAGCAGAATCTCTGTAAGTCTCCTTGGTCTGCAGAAGGGTGGTCTAGCTTTGCCTACTTGTGGTCTGTTGTAAGTTATACTACATGATATTTGTTTTAATATGGAATTGGTATGTGTTATACATAAACTGTGACCTGCTGTTGTACTGTTCTTTGTCGACAAACATTTAAATATAATTAATGTTTACTCAATCGGGATATGGCTACAATATAGACAATGTAATGTAAACTCGTAACTCACTAACTTAGTTCCGTGGACATAAACTATACTTTGGCCATATTGACTAGGATACAATCAGTACTTAGTCTGCGTGTCTAAGTGAGAGTAACATGCGACACAAAGGAGGTTTGGTCCTTACTTAATGTGTTTGTATCTATAGGTACATATAGGTTCTAAAAAGGACTTCGACCCATGTTTTAGGCAGAAAACACTTTGGCAAGTACTACAGACATGGATTTCTTCAATGCTTGAAATTGTTTTATCTAAACGGGACATAAGTTCGATCAACTTGCACATTGATACGAGTAATGTAAAATTCCAATACTCACGTCTCTGGCAATGGGAACCGTACCATCCTTCCTGACATCTGTCTGGATTGCCGACCTGGCTACAGGGAGTAGAGGGGAACACGGCACAGGCAGCTGCAGTGCTGCAGTGACACTCGGCAGCTGAAGAGATGAAGAAACAAGAAACCGATTTCTTGGTCTTAGCTTTTCAATTATATCTACTTTTAACATTTAAAAAACATCAGAAAAGAATATGTTTCACCTTTCCTGAGCACATCTTTCCTGAACATCTTGTTCAATGCCACTTAATATTTAGTCCCAGCTAATCATATCTTATATGACGTGTCAGATAGAACTGTTGTATGCATGATGTCATGGACTACAAGAAACATAGTACCAGATGCAGAGTTCATACTAATGGTAACATACCAACTACCAAAATACCCTATAAAATGTCCTACCAGTGAGTGTTCGAGTGATCGAGAAAACAACACCGTGGTCAAAACCACGCCATTGTGTTTGGCTTTGTTCCCGGGGATGGAACCTGCAACGAAACAATCATTAGCGTTCATTCTGCTCCCTGTCCATATTTCACATGACGACATGCTTGTATATATAGTCACACGGGGCATGCTTCTCCTTCTAATTTCATCTGGGTCGACTTTCTTAACTGAAAATCTCACTAAAGTTTACTGATTGCCAACATTGGTTTACTGGATGTGCACATGGGCTGATCTTGTTATGCGTACCCGGCCATTTAATACGACTTGTTTCTCGATCTCACTGAAACAATGTCACAGTAAAATACTACCCGGCAGGAATATTGTAATACATGGTAAATGTCCATGGCTGGATGAATGCACACTCAGAGTTCAGAGAAGTTACCTATTTTTTATCCTCTCTGCTGACTTGATGTACAATTGGTTGTATATGTGGGACGTGCAGAACAGTTAATGTATATACCTTCATTGTTGTCTCAGGTAATTATAAATGGCAATTTTGTAAGACTTATTGGGATATTTCAGTTGCACGCACGCCATACTCATGAGGCAACTTGCGACTGCACAGATGGGTCCAAATGAGGTACTAGTACATAAACATAACATCTCCGTTTGCTAATGAGGCCTGTTTAATTTGCATATTTGATATCATACTTTGTTATGGACATGTGCTATAAATGCTTCTGTTATTATTACTGGAATGTTGAGGAAATGTGATAAAATGCAAACCCAGAATAGCCAGAGATAATAGATGAACATTTATTTAGTATGTAGTGTTTTACTATTGCTCCGTGGGTCGGGCTGGCCATGCATACGTGGAGGAATTGTTACCTACTCCTTGTCAACTATGGGGGTTGGGTGAAAGGAAGTTCTGTCTGATAGCGTCTTGGGTGTCGACTGTCGGGTTGCAGTATTTTCAACAGATGACAGTGGATTTGAGTCCTAAAGTACCGTCGTAAATAAACAAAAACTATTTTTTCGCATTTATATCTACAATTTATGTAGTTAATATGTGAAAATGTGAAATATCTGTTAAAATAAGTTCGGCCTAAATACAGTCTCAGTGGTAGCATTGGCGGATCCAGAGGGTGGGTTCAGGGGTTCGAACCCCACCCACCCCTTTGAAAATGACTTAAGACCACATTGCAGATTTTATTTTTCCGTTGGCGGAGCCAATTGGGGGTGGGGTGCGTGGGGGAGTTTGAACCCCTGAACCCCTGAAACCCACCCACCCACCACCCACCCCCTTCAAAATTCCTGGATCCGCCCATGGGTAGGGAGATAGGAAGCGTAGAAACAGGACTTTACTGTAGAGAGATTAGTGCAGAAATGAGCAATGCAGTTCTTTTTCTAAGTCGAAAGCGACTTATTTGTGACAGACCATGGCTTTATGCAAATTAGTTTGCGAATATATTGTATTACAAAGGAAACTTTTTTAAATGCCCATTTTGACATTAAAATTAGCTTCATTATAAACGATAGCTGACGTAAAAATAATAACTTTAAGACTGCAACTGTTAAGGACGAAGCTACCCTGGAGTCTCACTATCACTATGAAAAGAAACAGGTAGGAGGGGTCGTCTCAAAAGCAATACCAGGACGGGGCCGGTGTCGCAGACGGTGGTAGGGGTCGGGCTAGGGGATAGAGATATCCGCTAAGATGATATAATCCTTTAGGAGATTTAAACTGGGTAAGTAAACGGCATGTCATCACAATTTACAAATAATATCCAGTCCTGTCGATCTTCGGGTGGTCATGTCACCTATATATTTTTAGACATTTAATACGATGGCTAATTTATGCTTTTCTATGGGTATCATGCACCTTTACATATCTCAACATAAACTTTATGGAAGAAGAAAACGTAAGATGTTAATCAATAGATGAGACATATACAACGCACATGAAAAAGCATAAAATATCTTTGAGATGACCCCTTGTGCCTGTATGCAGCACATGCATTTCATGCCAGGTGAATCGACGGTCCGTCTTCATACCTGGCTGAGCGACCTAATTGCCATCTATATTCTGATCTATTGTTTTCAGCAGCTATTCGTATTTTTCTAGGTTTTGACCGATCTTACGAGTAAACATGCTTTTCTGGATATTCTATTAAGCATCCTACTGAACGCTCAGTTAGGCGGATGATGGTTATTTCGACATATGCTATTTGTAATTATGTACATTTTAGGGATACAGAGTAATAGCCTAAAACAGTTGGGTTTTTTCTATTTCCGACAGTACTTTAGTGTTACGTCTACTTTTACATGTGGTTACGTTGACGTAAGTAATATATGAAACATTAAACACGTTCACTTTTGACGACGCTCGGAATACAAACAATATTTGTCATGGAATATGCACTGATTATATAACTATTGACTGGTTCACAAGTTAACAGTAGGGTTACGGCCTAATCCGCCGAATTTTGAACAACCAGCAGTGCCCGTCCGTCGAATCATGCTTGAGTGGTTCTGTGCTAATCGGTCGAATTTCAGACTGCGTTAACACACTGGGAGAGTCTAAGTTCATTAATTAAGGGGTCGGCTTGTATTGGGCTAAAACCTTGACCCTGATGCAGCGCTCTGCCTGTTCTGTAGAAACACAGATGAAGACGAGTTCCATGTCCTCCTTGTATATCCTAGGTATGAGGAGGAGAGCAGACAAAAGTATCTACCAGAATAGTAAAGAAAGCAGCCATTTTTTTTATAAGTTTGTAGGACCGCTAGCCAACCAAAATGAAAAACTTACCTTATTTGGAGCAATTTTTATAACAAAGATATGTGAGAGAATTGAGAGACTCTACCGAGACTCTACTACTTTGTATAACTTACATTATTATACTCCCCAGGTTTATGCACCAAGTCTAAATTACTACTCGAGAAGTTTGAACATCACGAACTATATATTTCTCCTTATGAATGCATTTTATTTAATACATCAATTTCAATTTTGTACAAAAGTAAAAACATATAGAGTCCAAACATATATTTAATGCATCAATTTCTCCTTGTATCATATGAGTAGGCAAAGATATATACTGTACAAAAGTACAAAAAAATACATAGAGTCAAACCATCCAACACCCCTTGCGTCTTTTTTTTGGTATGATCCAATGTTTTGATAACATAACTAATTCATAGCTAAGATCACAGTGCCGATCCGTCGAATGCATTTTACTACTCTGAAATCAGAAATTCGACGGATCGGTACGCGACCAACAGTATCGAGGTTCGCTGCTGGTTTCATATGTTCAAAGCAATTATTTCCTAAATGAGTACAGATGTGTCCATGTACATTACGAGAAAAGCAGATACCTATGTCAAGTACCATGGACGAAACAGGTCTCAAGAAATACATCTCCACCTCAATACAATTCGCAATGCAATGCAACATAGAATAGCCTTTGTTCGACTACTTGCAAAAAATGAATTCTCATCTCACAGCTACTTAATAAACAAGTGTCGAATATCGAAACAGCGTGATAGAATTGGTTTCAACAACATGAGCGTATGTTTTATTTTTGAAATGGCTAGAGTGCTCCAGTTTGAATGATACTGTTTCTTCTATATTTCAACGATGTGACGGCGATCACCTCTAAAACACATTGTTGTATTTGAAAATGAATGTATGTGGCCACCACGTTGGTGGTGAGTAACTAACGTGTTCATCATCAATTAGTTTAGCGGAGTGAATGCGATATGGTACACAGTACAATTTTGAACCACACAAAATCCAAAGACACGCCCATGCACCAGGTCCATATTGGCAAACTGACAGTAGACACGTTCGCATTCTTTTGTAACATGACTTCCGCTTTCATCATAATTTTATCTCTTTACCATGAAATACCGTAATGGACATTACCGCAATCTCCCAGTCATGTGTTATTGTTCGAATTTTATTCAATGAAAATGCTAGCCGTGTATCATGTTTCCTCATGGAGAAACTCTTTATTGTGACATTTCTATAACTGACGGTGTAGTCGCGAATAACTGCAATACTGCTGATGTGGTTTTAAACAATATTTACTCACGACCGTGATATATATTTGCAGCTTCCATACACAGTGTTATTTTTTCTGTTTTTTGGACATTCATGTACACAATTTCATTTGGTAAAATATGAACATGTTGAGGGTTTTCATTTTGTGTACACGGGAAACTGTAACAACGTGAGGGACATGTTTATGCTGCATTAAGTGTTCGTGTTTTTCCTCACATGCAGGTATCTTCCTATCTAAATATTCAGGAAGATATCTGTACTCGCAATAGCAAAATAAATACGCGTACATAAAACATGGACGTTCTTAGGGACGGATCGTAAATAAAGTCATTTAAGGAGAGGCTAATCATTGACGAATGAGAGATGCAAAGCTGTTAACAAACACAGCTGAATGGTACTGGTAGTGATAGTGTATAGCCGTTTTTTTTATTTATGCTCCCATGGAGTAAGAACGTAAGTTGCTATTTCTAGTTATAAACATCATACAGTCAAACACCGTTATGTCGAATACGAAGGTGTTACGACGTAAATTGTAATAACGCGGTAAAATGTAATAAACTGCGGCAAATTGTAATAACACCGCGGTAAATTGTAATACCGCGGTAAATTGTTATAAAAACTGCGGCAAATTGTAGTAACTTAAACTGCGGCAAATTGTAATAACCCCTGTGGTAAAATGTAATAAAATACATTTCATTGCCTATTATGCAAGGAAACATTCATGATGTTAAAATGTGAGACCAATTTACGTCGTAACAGACACGCTTAAATATATAGTTGCAAGGGGCATGTTTCTCCTAATTTCAACTGGGTTGACTTTCCCAACTGGAAATCTCACTGACATTGGGTTGCTGAACGTACTCTTGGGATAAAACCCCTGGGGTGATCTCGTCATGCTTACCCAGCCATTTGATCTGACCTCTTTCCCCGATATCATGGAGACAATGTCACAGTAAATACGAACCTGCCTACAGGAATACTATAACACATGGTAACTGTCCAAGAGTAATAACACACACGTCATGCACATACAGTTATGTCTATTATTGTTCTAGTTGATTTGACATTTTTGAAAACTTATTGGGATATTTTGGCTACACACTCACTAAACCCAAACGTGGGGCTGCACAGACTTGTCTGTGAAACAAAATATATGACTAAACATAGTCTGAATAGTTTCACTTGCATCTTCCCTATCGTTGTGTTTGTTATGAACGCATGTTTAACTTGTATTTTTGATATTATCACTTTGTTACGGGCATGTGTTATATGTGCATCTTTCCTATTGTATTGGGTATCGACAGTGTAATATTAATACTAGGAGATGTTAAGATAGCAATTTCACAACACTATACGGCTAGATTGGTCGACAATTGCTGACAGCTGAAGCGATGATGTAGATCCAGCTAGGGGCCATGCAGGAAGCAAATGCACTCTAAGTCCCCATGGCCCCTATAGTTTGGCATGAAATGCATGTGGACCCGGTTTTTTGTAAATATCTCTTCATCCAATGACCCAATCGATCTCAAACTGTGCAAGTGGATGTTTTGTCAGACAACCTAATCATATTGTAAATCACCGATTTTATGCATTTGTATTAAAGAATCTGTCTATGTAACTGTCAACAAAATAATCAGCAGAACGCAGAATGCTTGCAGAGGGAGGGAGCCAATGACCTGTAACAGCGGCAGTGTTGGGTCATAAAGGTCAATGCACGTGCAGTTCATGATAGTTACCTGTGCACTGCACAGTGATAGACCATTTGGATCATTCACATTGACTACTTCTAGCTGTCATCATGAAAGCTTATTCAGATGATGCTAAACGTTTAATTAGAAATGTGTTGAATATTTTTTTAAAAGAGAGCAAACGTAGCAATCGATTTATAAGGTGTCGGATTACATGAAACGTACAACTTTTGCTCTTGGCATAAAAAAAGAACATCGTGCTAAAAATTGTGACAAATAAACCAACAACCAATAAACAAAACCTTGTACAAAAGGTAGGCATCCAACGTTAGATTCTTTTGACATCAGGGGCATCAGAGATGTCATTCGCCGGCTATTTGCTAGAAATGAACACCTGTCCACAAGAAAGTTAAAACACATCCTTGCAGAGGATCACGACATTAATGTTTCTAGGGTTATGCTAAGCAAACTACTGCTCACATTTGGATACAAGTACAAGAAGGTAGCAAACCAGAATCTTGTAATGTGTGAGAGATCTGATATTGTGAAAATAAGGTGTAACTATCTGAGAGAAAATTAAGCAGGCAAGAGAGGATGGGTTCGAACCCATATATCTGGATGAGACCTGGGTCAATGCAAACCATACTGCTGCCAGACAGTGGCTACCCACTGATCCCAGTGATGGTAGGAAAATACCAACAGGCAAAGGTGAACGTTTAATCGTTCTTCATGCTGGATTCCCACCGTGGATTCCTACCTGGGTGTGTTCTGGTATTTCTGTCAAAGAGCACAGATGGTAGGGACTATCATACAGAAATGAACTCAAGGGTTTTCACACAGTATGTTGAGGAACAATTGTTGCCAGCTCTGCCTTACAAAGTCTTGTTGTCATGGACAGTGCTCCCTATCACAGTGTTCGAGATGCAAACAATAGGTGCCCAACTTCCAATACAAAGAAGTCAGATATGCAGCAATGGCTAACAAATAACAATATACAATGTTCAATTAAGGCCACTAAACCACAGTTGTACTCTTTGATTAAACCTAACAAACCTCCACCCACATATAACATTGACAACATGCTACGCCAACACGGCCATAATGTCTTGAGATTACCACCGTACCACTGTGATCTCAACCCAATCGAACTTATCTGGGGACAAGTGCATAATAAGTAATAAGGATAAAAGTACAGTGGCCCGGAAAATCAATCATTCAAGTTGAATGATGTCAAGCACATTGTCAACACTGCTATATGTGACATTGACATTGCACGCTGGCATGCATGTGTTGAACATGTCAAGAAGGTGGGGAAAGAGTACTGGCTCAAAGATGGCTTGAAGGAGGAAACAGTTAATCCAGTTGTCATTCGTCTGGACACTGATGACTCCTCTGTGGAAGAATGGAGTGAACTTGATGAAGTTTAATTCTGTTATTATATTTACAGATAATAATAGTATCCAGCCAGATATGCTCAAAGAAATATAACTTCTTTTAACAGTGACAGCACTGACTAGTTCGAACGACTTATAGTGTAACATGAAACACTCATTTCATATAAAATTATCATGAAAATATAAATATTAATTATCTATATGCTTAAAGCTATTAGCAATGCATTGCTTAATTTGGAATGTGAACGACATCAAAACATAACAATTTTGTCTTCATTCTTCAATGAGTGTGCATGATTGTGTATGCTTGTGTCCGAGGGAACAGGGCTTTAACAGTTGTTGAGTTCTAACCATAGGTGGTCCGATTAATGATTTAGTGTAAATATACTTTCTGTGTTCTTTAAATGCATTTCAACTTAGGTACTGCATAAACAAAATATGACATTAACATTACAAATTTAAAGATTTTAACCTACAGAATAATTCTCACTAATGGGTTTTGTGGTTAATGTTGAACAACTCAGAGGAACAAACTCCGTATGATGGTTAACAGTTGGCACCCACCTTACCCTATTCACGACCTGTGACACCTCTTCATACCTGGCACGTGCATAACTGACCTACATTGACGAACGTTGACCTTTATGACCCAACACTGCCACTGTAACAGGTCATTGGCTCCCTCCCTCTGCAAGCAATCTGCGTTCTGCTGATTATTTTGTGTAGACACTTACATAGACAGATTCTTTAATACAAATGCATAAAATCGGTGATTTACAATATGATTAGGTTGTCTGACAAAACATCCACTTGCACAGTTTGAGATCGATTGGGTCATTGGATGAAGAGATATTTACAAAAACCGGGTCCACATGCATTTCATGCTAAACTATAGTATGGTGATCTACCTTCAGTTGTTGGCAATCTATAGCCCGTTTTACATTGTCTTGTTATTTCTAGTTTTAGTTTTAGATTTAATTACTAGTTTTAAATGGATATCTGTGATACACTAGTAGTTTTACTGTTCTTCGTCAACAGGCTTCTATTTTTAATTTTATTGATCTATAATATAATCAATAACTGTTCTCGTCACGAAATGGCTGAAATATTGCCGATGTGACGATAAATATTTACATACTCACTCACGACACTACACTCAACGAGCAAGTTAAAAATTCGCCCCATCAATACATAATGTTAAAAGTACCCCCGCTCTTTTGACCAACCAGGTTTTACTTTGTAGTATTATTAGAATACGAGGAGGATTGTTAGCAGTTCATCGTCCATTTGTGTCAGAGAGCTTCCGCTTACTAGCGACCTACACCCCGATCTAGATCACCAGTCTAACCACCATGAGTACTTTCTGTAATATTATTCAATGGAACTGCAGAGACTTTAGAATAATCTAAATTAAATACATTTATTAATATGAGACATTAAGACATCAGCATTTGTCTTCAGTGGTGGCACAGTCACTAGTGCTACTGTCATTGGATCCAGAACCATATCATTCAGGTTATCAAATGCCAGTTTAAAATTAACAGCTCTTAAATATTTAAACAGCCAGTCTAAAAAGTTAAATGTGTTTTCTGACTCCCTCTCTTGTCTTCAAGCCATTGACAATTTCTCCTTTAAACATTCACTTTGAATCGAAATACTTGAATTGTATAATGATCTGGCTACTGGCCAATACGACATCGTGTTTTGTTGCTTACTCAGCCACGTTCGGATTACTGGTAACACAATGGCTGATGCTGATGCTGCTGCTAAAGCAGCTTTCAACAAACCTGTGACACAACTCCTTATCCTTTATAGTGATTATAATCATATTATCAGATGTTACATCCTTGATCTGATGCAAAAGCAGTGGATACCCAGGTAGGGGTAAATAGGTTGTATCAGTGAGTTTAGTTTCACGCCGCACTCAGCAATATTACAGCTATATTGCGGCGGTCTGTAAATAATCGATTTTGTACCAGACAATCCAGTGATCAACAGGATGAGCATCGATCTGCGCAATTGGGAACCGATGACATGCGTCAACCAAGCCAGCGAGCCTGACCACCCGATCCCCTTAGTCGCCTCTGACGACAAGCATGGGTTACTGAAGATCAATATTCTAACCCGGACCTTCACGGGTCATAGGCTGCCTGAAATCAATCCAACTCTCGGTTACAACTACTTGGTATGTCAGTCTAGAATTAAAGAGGTCGATGCCTCTCGAGATACACATACGAGTAGTTACTGAGAGGATGAGGATCCTAGTTTTGTATCACCTGTGATGAGAGAGTTACAGTCAAGCACGTCTTGCTTGACTGTTGAGTTTTTCATCTCAAGGGACATATTTCAAAGTGAACACAGTAAAGAATCATTTTAGCAATGTTGGTTATCCTTTAATATTTTCATTTTTCAAAAAAATTGAATTATTAATGAATTTTGATGTGAATGTCTTCTTTTATATATTTGTAGGATATGATTATGAACTGAGGTTGATAGTGGCTGTGTCCTTGATAGGGTTGAAGCATTGTAAAAATATTGTCCCCGGAGAGAGACCATGTCATTCAAATTTCAAAAAGTGTTGAATAATTGTTCATTTTAATATCTGGCTAAACCTTCGACAACCGCCTGTAACTGGTGAAAGGTGTAAATCCGTCCGGGGAACCATGTAGTCAGCAGAGGTACCGTAAGTCCCCATGGTCCCTAGTATGGTGTCCTTAACTGTGTTACTGTCGAGTATTTTTATCCCCCGCAACTCCGTGCGTCCGTCCGTGCACATTTGTCTTTTCCGGAGCAAAACTCTAAAACCATTCAATATTTCTTCACCAAACTTGGCACATAGATAAATCTGGTTGTCTACTGGTGCCTTTTGGTAGTTTTGGATTTCTGAATAAAATATTTGTTTGCGTTTCCATGGCAGCAAGTTTGACTTAGACTGAAATTGGTGGTAGTGCTCTTTTCCGGAGCAGAACTTAAAAACTGTTCACTGTTTCGTCACCAAATTTCATACATAGGTAGTTCTATTGGTGAACTGGTGCCTTTTGGTAGTTTGGGATTTCTGAATAAAATATTTTTGCGTTTCCATGGCAACAAGTTTGACTTAGACTGAAATTGGTGCTAGTACTCTTTCCGGAGCAAAACTTTGAAACCTTTCAGTACTCTCCTTCCACTTAGCTATACTCACGCCAAAACATTTGACATAATCGTAACTCGTAGACATATTCTTGAAGAGTATTGTGCCATTGCAGGGGATGTTGATCACTTTGCCTTCTTGTTATGTAAAATGTCAAATACCCAGTTGTAATGTTCTATAACGAATTTTAAAGACAAATATGTGAAATATTGCCAGTTGTTCTTTTTCTGTCCATCGATGACAGTTTTAAAATTTTCACGACATGGATGAAATATTGCTCACTCACTCACTCACTCGTGACGTAAAATATTGCTCACTCACTCACAAACTCTATCACTCACTCACTCATGTTCGAAGCAATAATCTGCTAAATGTATGTACATGTGCCCATGGGTATTACGAGAAAGGTAGAAACATATAACTGAACGAAACAGGTATCCAGAAATACATCTTGTTATCAACAAGATTCACCGTACATTGCAACCGAAAATAGACTCAGATCACCATGACACAACCGCTCTGACAATATACAATAACTCAAACTTCGGACGCTATGTAAACATATTACATGAGCGATAATAGCAAGGTTGAAGTACATATATTCAACATATGTAACATAGTTATGTTAAAACATATATATGAGACATAAAAATATCAAGCTGCAAATGTATGATAGACATGTACAAGCTTATTGATACTCACCAGTGTCTTTCCAAATTTGACAAATTCAGTGAAACACAACCGGGAAGGAAATTGTGGCAAGGCGTCCTCGCCACCTGGTGTGTGTATTAACATGTATTTCGTTAAAGTTGATATTACATCCGGATTGTAGGTTGCCTCCTTTTTCAATGTGGTGAAAATGTACTTGGTGTCTCTGCAGGATTTGCTCAAGTAAACATCACTTGTTATTATCTAATATTGGATACTTATTATCTCTAAGTACACAAACAGTTTATCATCCTGGGTTTGTAATTATTGAATGAAGCTATGTAGTCATTATCATGTATCTGCCTCTTTAAACTCATATATTTCATAACAGAGTGAGTGAGTGAGTTCAAAGTTTACATCGCATCGACAATATTACAGCCATATAGCGATGAAAACAAGGTAATCAATTTAAAATATCTGTCGACAAAGGACAGTAGTTCATAATAGAGGGTGTGTGAGTTTAGCGAAGGGAATTATCGAGGAAAGAGACTAGTGGGATTAATCTCAGCACCGTATCGTAAAATACAGCACCTATCCCTAAATCTATAACTAATTTGTTATGAATGATATTTAAGTGTCGATTAGTGTGCACGCCCTGGTATCACCAGTTGGGCCTCGATAAATGATAGGAATGCTTAAGTGGGCATGTATAGTGCTTATGGCAAGTCACCATCGGGGTGAAACTGGGATCCTTGCACAAACCCAACCTAGGACAGAAAACGAACATGCCGTACAGGACAAAGACAGCCCTGTCCTAATTTCCATATGAATAATTCACTTGTATTATGCTGTAAAATTCCGCTCACACAACAGAAAAGAACTCGATAGCAAATAACTGTGTCATTGTGAGAATTACTATTGGCCCTTTTTTGTAAACATCCCTGTTGTGGAAAGCCACATGCAGATGTTACTCTTGAATGCACTCATCTCAACCTGAAAACCCATCGAGGTCCCTTCGACATTTTCACACAGGAAGTATAACCTCGTGGACGGATATTTGAAATGAAAACAGAATGAAGACCCACTTTGAAAGCTGTGAAGGAAGGCAAATTCGCTTTACACTAAGAAATACAATATTTTCAGCAACGCCAAGGTGGAATCTAATTCCGATTAAGATTTCTGTGTCAAATTCGTGTTTTCGACAGATAATTTACAGGAATATTAAAGGACATTGTAACAACATGATACTGCTTCTAATAAGTGGGGAATGTTGAACTGTCTAAGGCTACGTTTTGGGTGAAAATGAAACACAAGTGAAAATGAAAGAATAACTACATGTCAGAAATTTCACTTATTTCAACTCCATTCGTTCAGTGAAACAATATTATTTTCAAGCAAGTCAGCTTCATCACCATAATCCTTGCTTATAAAACGATAAGGTATTAGGATTATGGTGTTTATAAAGTAATAACTCATAACTCTTTCATGATTCCTGCTGATAACGTTGTCATAAAATAATCGCATTAACTGGAATTTACATTTAGTTGTATTTACAAAGCTTTAGGTGAGGGAAGTCATTTGTATGACAATGAACACCATATTATTATAACTTGCCGCCTGAATTGAACGACTCATAATACGTCTTCCTGACAGATGTCAGAGCATTATGTTAATCGAGGAGGCAACTATGAAATGTATCATACTGTTGTCAATGACAACTGTGCATACATGTATTTCTAAATGCTTGGATCCAAAACAAGTAGGCCGTAGGCCAACAGTTTCTCATAAAAATATACTACTCACACTTTGCTAAGGATCACAAAAATTCACAACTTTACTTAAACGTAGATTCATAATTTAAAATTGTATCCATTTAAAACTGGACAAATGATAATGTGGTAACCCCTCTTTAGGCAGACAGTCACTTTAATCTAACCTTATGCACTTGATACATGAATAACTATCAGAATGGTTTTCATGGCACCAATCAACCATTTTGTAATCATGGAACGTGTCAGTGACACGTACACAACAACTGTCAATAGCATGTATGGGTTCCACATATGAAATGACATACTGAAACCTAGGATCCATGCTTACAATAAGCTTAGATATTTGAACCAAATTTGACCCCGCATCATAGTTTTCTGTTGAATCCATGATTTGATCCTTAGCATAGTGTGAAGAGCATATATAAGGATTCATAAATGTTTCGTATATTTTACTGATGGGCATACGTCACTGATAACGAGATATCATAGAGCCAAACAGGCAAACTAATATTATTTACTACACGAACAATTTTACTCATACAGTTATATAATTCCTGCTGACATGGTATATAATTGAGTGTGCATGTGAGAAGTGTAAAGCACGTGTCCTGATAACGTCTACACATATACTGATGCCTTAGTTGATTACATTTGAAACACTTAAAGACTGGCTGGGGTGTATCATGTGAAGACACACTAAACCCCTGATATTGCTATTATCAGTTAGCTTAATCCATGTATAAGGCACCCGGCGTTTGGGTTACTGTATGTCGTTAGAGCGGTTATTTCGTTCATGGTACTCGAACTTCGTTCATGTGTCTCTTACTTCTCGTAATATACTACCCATCAAAAGTGTAGCCTCACTAGTGTAAATGTAGCCACTTACTTCAGTCAACCTATCTAAGCTAGATTTTGGAAAATATTTTATATAGTTTAAATGTACTGTTTACACATGAACTGATGTATTGTAAAACGAATTCGTAACGCTGAAAAGGGTATTGTCATGAGTTCAATGAATGATGAAACTTAGTGAAAATTGGTGAATTCTTACACCAAAACGCAGCTGTGCACATGCAGGATATTGGCACATGCATTTCAGCAATTTGATGCATGATCCTCGTCATCCCCAAAGTTAGTATAGAAATTCATCTTTGATGTAACCACATATATGCTGGACAAAAATAGTTAGGGATATATGTAAATTTTTAAATTTTGAATAATGATCTATTTATTCATTGACACGCTGATAAAAGATAAATCATAATAAAAAACAATATCACTAACTTATTTTGTCCAGTATATATGCATAACATATAGTGAGTGCTTTAAGTGAGTCTAAACTTTTGATAGGTAGTATATGACAGGTTATACGTGTTTATTGAACATAACATGTTAGTGAACATATCATCTGAACACTTTCACTTGCATTTGACTGTTTCACCTGCTGTCGATGCTATGGACATTTTGTTATTATCATTTTGCTATGGACACTTGCTATAAATGAAACATACATCTTTATGGATGGCAACTTCTTGTTATTGCATAAAGCGACGTTTCGGAGTAAAATCTTACACCGTTTTCAAGCTAAAAGTTACATCACTTTAATGACATCCGGAATACAAGTAGTATCTGTCGGAGAATATGTACGAACTGACTAAATATTGACGAGCTGACACGTAATCACTCACAGGGACACCCGATCATAACCATGACGTGATATTGCTTAGAGATGACTAAGAGGCTGTAATGTTGATGTGTGTGAACACTACACATATTGTTACGCACGAGTGACTTCTCGAGTTCCGTGAATCTGATAATAATAATAGTCTTTTTTCGTAATGCGCTTTTCTCCACGCATAATGCATGCTCGAAGCACCCAATGTTCATAGTACACAGCACAGGATTGAAATAAGTTCATTTTACCAGCAATGCACTGTTGTGTCAAAAGACGAAACGATCTTATCACTTGCTATCGTTACACTGCAAATTCACTGCAATTTTCATATATTGATGTAATGATTTACTAGATGTATATATTCAACCGTGCATTAATTAAGCACCACCGACCCTATTTTGAAAATAAGATGTGATGCCACAGACAATTTAGGGTATAGCCATCAATTTAATCAGCATGTAGTTAAAGAAGCTTTAATCACTGATAGTTTTACAAATACCATAACCTTTTCTATTCTTTATGAAAGAATATGTTGATGAAAATGTGGTAGGACTGAATTTTTACCCCAAATAACTATTCCGCTCCTGCTCAAACTACACAATTAAATTAAGTTTTGACTAAAATAACAATTCTGTTATATACCAAGATGACATTTACACATCAAGTCAGCTTTAATTATGCATAATCAGGAACAACCCGATTGTAAAAGATTCAGACCTTTTTCCAACAATTCTGATTGCTTATTGACAAAAACTGAAAAAAAAGGCCACATTAGTAAGATTTTGGAATATCTTTTTATGATTTTGAGTTAATTGTAATACATAAACATTTCTCCTTGCCGGATACTGATAATTACAGCTAAAATCTGTTCGTTTTGTTTGTAAAGCAACTTTTAAAATGTTCCTTTTTTCAGTTTGACTGTAACTTTTCCTAAGTCTTAGTTTACAAACCTTCATCCATTCACAATAAATAACGAATTTATAGGCCACACGACAATCAATTATTACTTTCTCTTTTCAAAATAAGGTAACTTGTTTTAGGACAGAAAAAACACCTGTTTTAAATTATCCTTATTAAAGTACATAGTAATTTCAATGATCTTTTCGTTTTTTAAATGTTAAATGCTTGCTCTATCAAATTATAAAGGTTATTTTTTGGAAAGAGTTCAGAATATGATTTCAAACAAAATTAATAGCTAAAAATACAGGGTGGTGCTTATTTTATGCACGGGTGTATAGATGTGTCCGTATATATTACGAGAAGTTAGAGACATATATCAAATACCAGAACAGCCGCCCTCATGACATACAGAAACCAAAACGTCGGACGCCTTACAAACAGATTAAGCTAACCGATATTGTCGTAATACAACTTCCTTCAGATATAATGCCACCTATCCCAGATAATTAATATGAGTATCAAACGAAAGCAATATTAAGATTAAACTACAATTGTATAATGTTCATATAAACCTTTATGGATACTCACCCGTGTGAACGTAGGAAACATACAGCGACACACAACCTAGACGGAAGTTTTGGGGAGGAGACCACACGTCTTCCACACCAGGTAACATCAGGCTGTTTTAATATTTCGTGCAAGTTGATTTTACATCCCGGATTCCAGGTTACCTTGTGCACGGTTTAATGTTATCTATGAGGTAAAATGGAGGGTGTGTGACTGCACTTTTGAAAATCGCATTATTAATTTTGACCATGCCATCCTAGTTCAAACAAATCCACATACTGCTTTTCCTCGTGCATTATC